GCGCAGTTTGAAACGGCTGCACGGTGTTTTCTTGCCACGTGCGTGGCCGAGGCAAAAACACCTGGCGGGGGTTTTTCCCACGGCACACCTTACACTATGTCACGGCACACTAGTGTGCCACGGCACAGTGGTTGAAAAACACTGATTTAAGGCATCCTACTTAATTTCCTATTGGTTAGCACCCCAAAGATTAAAGCTCTTCTAAGAACTTGCCATGTTTTGACCATACAAATTTAAAACCATTCTTATGAATTGCAGTCTTCCCATGCCAGATCAAGATCTTAGAAATCAAATGTCTTCTGGTAGTGTTGGTTGTATGGCCAATTATAATTTCTCCATTTTCTTCTTTCAATCCTAGGGACTAGTATAATGGATAAGAATACTGCCTCTGTAAAGCTTCCATCTTAAACTTTCGAAGTTCCTGCTGATGTAGTTGTTATTTACGTATTTATCTTTCTCCATGAGCGTTAGCAGAAAGATAAATTCATCAATGGGCCCAAGTAATTCTTGAAAGTTGTTCTGTCAAAACTCTGTGTTTGACTCCTGGTAAACAAAAAATGCTTCACAAGACAATGGGCCGTATTGGCACTTTTTTGTAATGGCAATGATCTTAATTCTACCCTTTGAGTTCTTTCAGAGTGCAGTTTAACGTCACTGCTCTATAGGGATTTAGTCAGACTCCCTTGGGAGAAGCTACCCAACACTCAACAGATTTTTTTTATTGCATGCTATAATGAAACTACCTAAAACAGCCAATTGCCCCTATCAATATGAGAAGATAGCTCCCTCTTATACCTACTAGAGTTTTCCACATTTCCTATGGCTTAAGGCATGACCTGCTTTGCAGTTCTCAGCTAGGGGACAATTGGTTGTTGAGGTAACTGACATTTCTATCCTGTGGTGAAATTCAATTTTTTTTACTACCGATTCTGTGGGCGTAGCTTGGTGGGTGTGGCAAGGGAAGGATACTGCAAAATCCCTATTCCCACCCACTCTGCGACCAGCCAGAGCTGCTATTTGAACTACTCAAAATTTCTGCTACCGGTTCTCCAGAACCTGTGAGAACCTGCTGAATTTCATCCTTGTTTCTATCCCAATGCATCTTACCTAGATCCATTAGTTCTTTTTCTTCCTTAAGATACAGATAGTCCTTGTTTAGCAACTATCTCATTAACGACTGTATACAGTTACGCCAGTGATGAGAAAGTAACTTTATGACCAATGCTCACATGTTTGACCATTGCAGTTCAGTAAAGCAAAAGAAAGCTGAAATAAGATCATAAGCATACTCACAATTTCACTTAGCAACTGTTTCCACTGTACCATGAGTAGAAAACTTTTATTTTCTGTTCTGTTCTCAGGTTCTCAAATTAATCAAGAACGTTCATTTATATCCCTCGTACACAGTCTGCTTACCCAGCAAAAAGCAATTATTAGGTCTCAGTAAACACCTTTGCAGTCAGCAACTATTCCTTTCTCACAATCCACATACAATCTCTCAGAATATGTAGCTTCTCTGGTCATTCTCCTGTTTTGTTATTTTTCCTTTGAACTCCTCTAGCAGATTAAAGGACAGTTTGCTCACTGTCCTTTAATCTAATCATTGTTGTTGAACATGCAGATCTTCTTCTTGAGTATTTTGAATTGATCACAATATCAATAACTGTAGATCTCTCGTGTGTGGGATACAGCTAACATCATTATTACTTTTAATAGAGTGAAATGATAAATCTACACCTGCTTTTCAGCATTGGATTTATGATATGTTATTTGCCAATATTTCAATTGTTTTTTTTAAACACACACAAATGAACAAAAAAGTAAACTTTTGAACAAGCTGCTTTGTTTTGGATATAATATTTTTTTCCCATTAAAAAAAATATTTTCCATTTTCATAGCATATAATCACATGTATACTATTACATAGTTTTGGATATAATCTTACTGTAAGATATTAGTTCTAACTACAGTGGTTTCCATCAATGTCCTCTGTTCTGGCGGGAATAGAGGTTTAATCCTATTGGTCGAAGGGTCTGGCAGCTCCCTATAAAAGGGCTGCTGTCAGACTCAACCTTCGCTGGATTGTTCTCACTTGTTGTACTCAATAAAGAGCTGTTGTTACCGTTAAGCCTGTGTGTGCCTATCCATTACCCAATCTAACACTTACAAAGTTTTTTTCTTTAATTTTAATTATGACATACTATTAATAAAATTGCATATATATACTTTGATATCATACTATAATGTTAAAATATTTCTTCTATTTTCTGCAATTGTTATGGATTCAGGGCAGATGTGGGTTTCTTGGACATGCAGAAAGCAGCACAGTTGGCATCACATTGCTTGACATCAAAATAACCTGGGCCATTCAAGGACAAAAGGATATCTTTTCAGAGTGACATGCTCACAAAGCAGAGATTAAATAGTCATCCCTTTCCCCACTCATCAGAGGCAGACAGTTCATAAATTAAGTTTGGTCAGATACCAGTGAACACATTCAGGTCTCTATAATAGCACAGACATTAGGATACAAACTGGGAAATGTTCCTAGGACAGTTTCTGAATTGAGTATTCTACTGCCTTAGGTTAAAATTGTATATTATATTATATATCATATAAAATTATATATTCCATTATAACATTTTAACCACTAAATCTAATATTTAAACTTTTCTGGCTCTGTGGAAGTACGCAGTAACTCAAACATACCCTTGTCTGCACACTACTTTTGTTATTAAGGGAAAACAAAACAAAATTATCTAGTATGCAGTCAGTAAAGATATATAAGCTGCATCAAAGAGAATATGTTCCTCATTTATACTTACACTGTACGTTGAGTTGCACCAGGGCCTCTCGAGGTCTAATGTTGAAGCCATTGTATCTGGCTGTCTGGCATTTGTAAATCCCACTCATTTTTTGAGTCACCTTCTCAAAATACAGCTTCCCATCATTTGTTTCCACTGTCATGGTCCCTGAAGGCATAGGAGCCTCTTTATCAACTCTGGACCAGATGATAGGAGGTTTGGGTTTCCCTCGGACTTCACACTGTAATTCTGCTCTCGAATCTTCACGGACAGTAATGATGGATTGACCCTTGGGCACCATGATGGTTGGAGGCACTATTGGGAAAAAGATGACAAGAAAGAACACCTATTCAACAGCAATGTTTAAAAATTAGCTTAGTGGTGTGTGTATGTAAAAGATTGCTGAAGTTGAAGTCAAGGCATTATTACTTCTTTGAACTTGTTATTTTAAACAACACTGATTCAGTCAATCACCATCATTATTTCTTCTATATACTACCACATAATTTGGCTTCTGCTTGGCATAAGAAAAAGCCTTCCTCATTCTGTTATTCCTATCTTTAAAAAAGAGGAGAAAGAACCCGTCTAACTACCTACCAGTCATCTTAACATTGTCTTTTGTCAACACTCTGGAACAGATTATTAAGCAATCGATTAAAAAAGAATGCATTGCTTGGAAAAACCAACATGAGCTTATTAAGAAGAAATTACAACAAATCAATGTGATATTTTTGACAAAGTGACTAGTTTAGTTAACTATAATAGTCTAGCAGGGTGTTCTGCAAAAATTCAATAATATTTTGTATGCAATTCTACTGTGGAGTATAGCAAAATATGAGAAATAAGAATTGTTTTCTTTTGCCACAGGCATTCTACTTCTGTCTAAAGGTCTTTGTATTTTGTGATTTTCTCTGTTCTTTCTCTTCTCTTCTGCTGTCTCAGACACTTCAACTTCCATTATTCCAACTTCATTGTTTTTCTTATCAACAATTTTATGTCTGGGATGTTATGTGGCAGGGGCATGTCTGTTTAAAGTCTAAAATCCCAAAGCATTTTAGCTTCTTCATTTTCTAATACCTTGTCTATTTTGTGGTCTCACCTGTTTTTGCTTAGTGTTGGTGCTTGGTATTATCTTGAAGATATTCCAATGCCCTTTTGTCACGCTGTTGTTTGTAATCAATCTATACCAGGGGTGTCAAACTCGATCCCATCATGGGCCGCATCAGGAGATTTTTTGCCTTGGGGAGGGGGGTGAGGTGGGTGTAGCCTGGTCATTGTGGCTGACTGGGTGGACGTGGTTGGTCCCAGGGCTGCAGGGGCTAGTCCCTCATTGTTTTCAGGATGGCTCCACAGGTGAATTCTGCAATCTATTGCGGGCTGAGCCACATGCATGTATGTGGGGGTCACACACATGCGGGATGGCAGGGTGCATGCGTGGGGTCACACACACATGCACGGGGTGAGGGGAAAGCAGGTTTTCATGTGCACATGCATGTGGGGGAGGGGTCGCACATTGCCTTTTGGATGCGCACGTGCACTTTCAGAATGCGACGACAAAAAGGTTGGCCATCACTGTTATATAGCAATTATAATATTGTAATATAACATAATACTATATTATACTAATTATTATTTTAAATGTATTGGCCTCCAACTCCAGTGGATTCCAGAGCAACTCCTTTAGATGGAGGTTTTAGTCCAGAGAAGAGAAAAGATTGTGAAGACATAAGAGTTGAGCTAGGTGGCCTTCAAGGTAGCTACCAATCCCTTTATTTCTATGATTGAAAATGCTGTAAAATTTTGTCACCTTATGAAGCAGTTTGTAACTCATTCCCATTGGTTCAAGTCCAAATATCTTGCATACAAAGAATAAAATTGTTCCATCATCTTTCTGATTGTTCCATATACCTTATTGCTTCTAAATCTTACTTTCCTCAATTCCTCCAACTTTCAGAACTTGCTCTTCATAATCTTCAGAGTCTTCTCTGCCCTCTTTTTAAGATTATAATTAGGGGACACAGATTCTTCAGGGCTGCCCACTCCTATTGGTTGATCTCCAAATATATTTGAACTATAACCTTTTTTTTCACTAGAAAAATTCCAGGAGTAAAACTGGTAGGACTTCTGTTGGGAAAGATTATTGTAGGGAATATCTGTACTAAAATATCATGGAAACTGATATGATTGTAATTCCTTGTGAAGTCCTCTTTCTCTCCTCAAATATTTTTATGTATATATTTACATTTTGAAGAGATTTAAAATGCAATGTAAAAGTTCCAAATTTATTTTTACCTGCATGACCAAGTAATGTCTGCATGTAACTCATAAATTTAAGAGGGCCAAGAGGGAGTGTGATGATTCTAATCATACAAAAACATAGCACATAGCTGGCTTAAAGGGATATTTATGTAGGTCTAGCATCCAGTATCTCCATCAACTGTATCACTAGGCAATAAGAAGGTGAATTTTCAATTTGCAGGTCTTCTGTGGGCTATGGAATCTCATCAAATCCTCTCTTATATGGTGTGAAGATTGAGCTGCACCCGCATGGCTCAGTTCTGCCAGCATATGCTCACCTGGCAGGAGACAATTTTCTTTATGGGGAAAAATGTGTAAATTGCATTTGAAAAGTTTTTAATTAAAGGAGGCTTTCTGGGACCCTTATCCTGGATGACCTGCTTGCTAAATCTTATGAGGGGAAGAAGATTCAGAAACCAGGGAATAAATACACCACCATTCCTATCTGTGGTCAAACTAGGGGAAAGATCCACACTTCTGTATGAACATGGTAAAGCATTTTTCAAAACCCATTAAAATTAGTTTTTTTTACAGCTGTGGGAACTTTACATGGGACTCTTTACTGAAAAAAACCAAGAGAGAAGAATGAATTGGTGATCTTGGGATCTGGTGATTAAAAATGAGCTTATGGAGAAAAGTTTAAGATTACTTGATAGAAAGGAGTGTGAAAAGCACAGCTGCATGTTTTTCTTTGTCAATTTCTTTCTTGTATCTCTAGTTCTTATTTTCTATGTTCTTGTTTGGTGTATGTGTGTGTGTGTTTACAGTTCCATGCTCCATTTAGATTATTTCTGAATTTCTCTGTGGTAGGAGCCTTGCCAAGGATTTTCTTTTGGAAACTTGTTTTAAATGGACTGCTAGCATTCCCATCATTTCTCTGATAGGCACCTGTGACCTTTGTTGCAAACATACTTCAGAAAGCTCTGTTCTCTACCTGCCTTACCTCTGAATTCCTCTGAGAAACGAAGTAGATGTGATGTTAAGTGAATCATTAGAAACTAAACCACTGTTTGTTTTAGTCAATAAGTATGAAGGTTATTTTCAATGGGACAACAGTACATATGGAGGGCAGGTAATCCCAACAGAAATGCTGCGGATGGTTTTGAGCTAAAATAAATAAAATAAACAAAACTCGCTAGCACAAACAAGGTATTTTTTTCAAAAACAAAACAAAACCATCACAGTGCATGTGGAGGAGGGGGCTAGGGCCTAAAGATGGAAAGTTTCAATAATTTCCCCTTGGATTTATCCCTGATGAATATCATTGCCCACCTCCATTACATTTATTTTAAAACCCTGATCTAGTTTCAGTGATGTAGTTAGTGCCATATCAAATTTGGCTCTTCCCCAGAACTTCCCAAGGCATTAGTAATATCATCCTCAAAGAATATCACAGAATTATTCTTCCTCATAGCCACTTTGCATGGTTAAATGGTTACACCCTTCCTATCCCTTCTCCCCAATTTACTGCTGATCTATATGCAGAGAAGTTTCTATTGTGCAGGGAACTGTTCAAAGATGAATCTGTCCTTCACTTTAACATGCTATATACTCTTATGCCTTTTTGTTTTGAATGTAATGTTATGCTTTAAAGAAATAGAGATAAAAAATTGGATAAAAAACAACAACATAATATCGATTATGAAATATTAGATATAAATTTATTCAGCCTGACTTTTTCTGTACTCGTTTATCTGGGGGAAAAAATGGGGGAGAGAGAAAGAAGTTGCATAGTAGTGCAGCCTTCCATCTTAAACCCTCCAAATAATTTGAAAAGGATTTATCTTGTGATTAAAGCTAATCTACCTATCTGGTAAACAGAGCTTAGGCTCTTTATGAAGCTCCTGGGATAGATTTTGATTAAAGTGTACATTCTTTTTTAACTGTGTTCTATCCTTAATCAGGCTTTTGGATAAGTTAAAAATTAGATGAAAATTTACCTGTTTCTGAAGAAATGTTGACCTCAACACTAAGGTCAGGGATGGGGGCTCCTTGGAAAGATGCCACACACACGTATGTACCATAGTCCGTGAAACGGAGATCAATTATCTCTAGGCTGCTTGTCACAGGGGGAAGTTCGGGGTCATTTTTGATGACAACTACTCGATCTGAGAATTTGGCCAGCTTCCCATTCTTGTACCAGAAGTAGAAAACTTTTTCTTGTGGCACAGCATCCACGTGGCATGAGAGCTTCAGGTCCTGTCCTAGCTGGATGGTTTCACTCTCTTTGATGACATCAGGGGTGATCTGGAAAGTTACATTCTTCATGGCTGGAGCAAATACAAACACCAAACTGTATGACTATATCAGTGCCTGATTTTCAAATGGTCAAAATATGTCATATCACGTCATGTTGTGTCATGTCATATCCTGATTGACAGGACATAGAAATCTGAGTAATTATGTAACACAAAAAGTAAGATATGTAATTCACATTCTTACATTCAACAGAATTTGATGTTCTGTTTAATAGCATCTCCTTAGGCAGAAATAATTCTGGAAAGTTGTTTTCACTGAATCTATGGTGCAGGGAAGACTAGGGTTGCAAATTTTTTTACTACTGGTTCACTCGTGGATGCACCCGCGCTCGTGCGCAATGCTTCTGCACATGCACAGCAGAGTCCAGGCAGGTGGGTGGAACCTCCCGCAGTCACTACTACTGGTTCAGTTGATCCAGGCCGAACTGAGAGCCTCTGATGCAGGGGGGACAGAATATCGTTCTCCTCCTTGCTTTAATTGATAAGAGAGGGATACAAACATGATTTTTGAACAGGCTACCTTATGCTTCTTTGCAAATGTAATGTATTAATTTGACCATCAATAAATGGAATGTGGTGAGAGCAGTCGCTCTGACAGAAAAGGACTCTGATGACTAAAGAACTCAGGAGAAAAACAAGGAGAGAGGGAAGAGTTTTAAAGAACACAAGAAAAATTATTTGTTTTCATCCATCCCCCATTAAAAACTCCTCTCCTTTCAATGTAACTTAGTGTGAAGCAATATGCATGTCTATGCGTACGTGTACAAACTTATGTGTTGAAAACAAACCTGAAAATTACGAGGAACGAAAGAAAGGAAGCAATGCAATATAAAAGCAAGCTTGGTTAATACTCTGTCCTGAAGTACCAGTCTTAAATTTATTCCAATCTTTAAAAGGAACAAAGTGAGCTGGAAATTCAGGCTCCATCCCCAATTAGATTAATAGAAAGACGTACATCGCACCAATAGGTTCACTGTCTTCTTGGCTGGATTTCCCACATTGTTGATTGCTGTACAGTTGTAATAACCTGAATCTTCAGTTTGAATGCCCCAGATGGTAAGATTGCCCCCTTGGATCAGGCTGTTCAGAGGCAGAGGACCAGGGGAGTGAGACCAGACTACCTGAGGCAAAGGATCCCCGCCTGTTAATGAACAGTATATGGTAACATTATCCCCTGGATTTACCACTAAAGTCTCATTCACAGATAGTTTTAGAGCTGGTGGAGCTATAAAAAAGAGAGAAAGAGAGAAAGAAAAAGAGAGATTTTTTTAAAAAAAAACAGATATGAAGATTCAATTCTAGGAAATATGAATTAGCATATTTTGCAATATAAACAAAAGAAAGGCTGATGAACCTAGAAATAAAAAAGCATACTATGCTTCAGGGGTGGCTTCAAACATTTTTACCAAGGGGTTCTCTGTCTGGTTGCTGGGTGGGCATGGTGGGTGTGGCCTAGTTGGCCTCTTACACCATGGCGACCGGGGGGGGAGGCCTTTTTGCCCTCACTGGACTCCAGAGGCTTTTCTCAAGCCTCTGGGAGGGCAAAAACAGCCACCCCAGGCTTCGGAGGCCCCTGGAAGGTCTTCCCAAACTTCTGGTAGGCCCATTTTTCACCTTCCCCAGACCTCCACATGTGTCCTGCACTTACCTGCATCCAAAATGGGCTGCATGGGGACTCCTGGGAGGGGCGGGGCAGGGTGGGCAGGGCCAGCCAGGAGTGGGATTTGGGGGGGTACTCCAAACTGCACAGAATCTTAGCTAGAGGTTCTCCCAACCTCTGTGAACCCCCAGCAGCCCACCCCTGCTGTGCTTGTAATCCAGTCAGATGGTAACTCTCAGATGTCTCAAACTAAGACCCCAATCAGTTTCAAAAACATACACATGAAAACTGGAGGTATACAGCAGCGCTAAGCTCAAAAAGCTAAGTTTGTGCTTTGCTGATCAGTTTGCCAAATTATATATTGGGAAAGAAGAGACTGCCTCTTTCTGAACTTCACCTTTTGCCAATGCCAACTCTTGGCTTTTCAGATATTATTGCACTGTAATTTCCATCAATTCCAATCAATTAGTTTGATATTTTTTTCTCCCATTGCATAATCGAATTGTTGCTTTACAGGCTTCAGATCTCTCTAATAATAATTATTGCTGGGATATAGATTCATAATGTATGGTCTGTTTTCCTTAAATCCGAGGTGGGTTTCTGCCGGTTTGCCCCCTATTGGGCAAACTGGTAGTGGTGGTGGCAGGAGGCTCCGTCCACCCACCCAGATGCACAGAAGCGTCACACGAGTGAACCGGTAGTAAAATAAATTGAAACCCACCACTGCCTTAAATGTATGATGTATCACCATTGTTAGAGGGTATTACAGTCCTATAATCTGGGTCCTTCAAGGCCACAACACCTATCATCTTCCATCAGCAAGGCTATTTATGCACCATCAGGTTAGGGAGACCCATAAAGCTTATACTGCCTTTCTGCAGAGATATGAACTCATTTAGACTTGATGCCATTTCTTGCACTGGAGTTATAAACACGGGGATCTTCAAAATGTGACACAAAGAATTATTAGACGTTCCCAATCACAGTTTGGGATGACACTATCTACTCCAAATTCCCCTTACCTGCCGTGCAGAGCCAAAAGCCTTTCTTGAGGATTTAATTCCAAATAGCTTCCCGTTATAGCAATGAAAGAACAGAACACATTTAACTTGTTAATATCTTTCCCCCACATCCCACATCCCGTGCCCTGCCTCCTCCTCCTAGCAATTATTGCTAACCTCTAGAGCTCTTTCTTTAACCGCCATACATATCAAATGCTGGGCTCTAAGCTCATTCACAAATCTTTCAGCCTCGCCTTTATGTAAGGAGTCATATTATGAATGGGCAGCTCCTCTGCTTTAGAATGCTTAACCTCAACCCTTCTGATTAATTCCTTTTCTTCAACATCCCCAGATACAGATCCAAAAGGCTTTTCTCTGTGTTTTCTGTTTAATCTCTCAAAGGCCCTTTAAAGCTCCTTCTTGGGAGTCATCAGAGACTTCACACGGAGCTCAGAAATTAACAATCAATGGGACAATGGCTGAGGCATGTTTTAAGTAACAGCTGTAATAACGCAAAATAAGGCATCATTACATATTCATAAAGCTTGATTTAATGACATCATTATTTCTGCCATCTCTTCTTTCTGGGCCTTGTGTTAATGACCTATACTGGATTTGCTCTGAATTTCTACTTCAGACAAACAAAAAAGTAGGAAGGCTGTTCTCTTACAGGGGCCCGAAAATACATATTTCGTAACTACTCTGATTTTTCCCGCATCCAGACTGATTGGCTTATGTTTGGACACGTTAAAAACTAATATTCCTTGTCTTAATTCTAAAATACATTGACTGACACAAGTGAAACACCGGCTAATTATATCCAATCTGTTGGGAAAATCAATGAAATGTAATAGGTAAAGTAAAGACCATGGATTAGAGGCAGGAAGACTGTGAATTCTAATCCTGCCAGAGACAGGAAAGCCAATTGGGTGACCTCCCTCCCTCCCTTTCCCTCCCCTTCCTCCAGGAAAAAAATAATTTCACTTTTAAACCTAAAGTTACACAACTAGCATGTTTTAAATTTTAAAATCCACGTAACCCACTGCCACTTTCAAGGTTTGTCCTTCAATTTTTTTACCTCCTTATTTCTCCGAAAATAGGACCTACCCCAAAATAAGACAGCCTGATTTTTAAACGTGCATCTAATATAAGCCCCACCTCAAAAATAAGCCCTAGTTAATGGGGTGGACATGGCCATCACAGAAGGTTTGGGCTGCATGGGCTGATGGTGTCCTGAAACAGTAACAGCCTATGCAGTGCAGATGAGTTGTTTACCTGTCCAAGCAGCAGGTGGAGGAAGAGGTGGGGGAGAGGGAGGAAAGTGATCTGGACACTCTGTGTGGGTGAGGGGAAACCTGAGAGTCAGTGGGCCAGAGCTGGCAGGTGTCCGTGGGAGGCTTGTCTTTGTGTCTCTAGGCTTGCCTGCAGAAAGGCAGCTTGTCGGGATCACCTGTCTTCTGCCCGGTGCCTCTGCCTCTGTCTGCTGCCAATGCTGCCGCATGAAGATGAGCCTCCCACAGTCAGCCACCTGCTCCAGCCGACCGACTCTCGGCTTTCCCGCAGCCCATGCAGCATGTCCAAATCTCCTGTCTCTCCCCGACCTCTGCCTCCACCTGCTGCTTGGACAAGTAATCAACTCACCTGTGCTGCATCGGCTGCGCAATCCCAGAGTGCACCAATCAAGGGACCAATGGGTTGTAGCTGCTGCTGGATACCATCGGTCCCTGCATACTTGCTGCCTCTTGTGTGTGTGCTTGGGGATGGGGCGCCCAGCCAGGATGATTAACCTGAAATTATGTTTCAAAATAAGCACTAGGGTTTATTTTGGAGCCCTAAAAATATAAGACTGAATCTTATTTTCAGGGAAACACTGGTATTACTTTTTGACTACATTTTTGAATTTGAAAACACCAAAAAAATCCTTTCAAAAGTGAGAGCATATAAATGTGCTCCATTAAATGGAAAATTGAGAGAGGGAATGGGCTTGATGGGCTTTTCTACCCATCAAGAATGCATGATATTTGGATTAAGGAATGATTAACCACAAATTGGACTTTATATTGTTTTGTTGGTCTTCAGCATCTGTAAAAATGTGAAGTGTTATTTCTCCTGCTTTTAATGGGAAATTTAGATTTTTTTTTATTTCCCATTTTCAATAAAATAGTTACATGACTAAAGAATAAAAAACAATATGGAATAGGATGAAGTTTATGACCTAAAATGAAAGCTGTTGATTTTTGATCTGAAGAAATGCAAATAAAGCATTTTTTCTACCCTGATGGGCCTTGCTATAAACAAAAAAAGTTCCTGAAGCATTAGTTTAGGCAACCATTCAAAAGTATGTATTTTCTTTTATGTCAGTTTCCAGCCTTAATAGCTAAAACCCTGTGTAGCAACGTTTTGTTTTCCATTATGTCAAAAAAATGGGCTTGTTTATATGTATAACTGGGCCAAAAGGAATCCATAAATCAGCTCCCTGCACCATGTAAAAGTGTCGGCAGCATCTCTCCAGGCTCCTGAGTTCTGACTAGATAGCACAAAATCCAAGTTCAGCTGTGGGCCCACCTCAGATCACATCCTCTTGCAGTTAGCAGATGGAGACTAACAACGTGCAGCCATTGTTATGCAGAAGATAAATCTAATTTATTTGCAACCTGTGGCAATTACTTTTGTTCTCTCTCTCTCTCTCTCTCTCTCCCTCCCCCTCCCTCCCTCATCCCCCCCTCTCAAAAACAACTCTCACACACACCTTGCTGGTAAGTGAGTTGAGGAGCAAAGGGAGGAGGGAAGCAATAAAAACAAAGAGTCACTTTCAATTCTCTTTGAAGTCCAATTTGCTGCAATATAACTGCAGGAGAGTTCTCCTTTGTTGTGGTTTAATCGTGTTGAAATCAAGACCGAGGAAAAGAATCCTGTCCCTGCTTTTCCCTGCCTCAACTATGAGCTGCCAAATCTCTGGACCTCTTAATTGTAAAACCATTAATAATAGAATGGTAAGGAAAAACTGGACATGCATGCAGAATTACAATGGTTTCTTGCATTCGCATGCCGGAATCTTAAAAACAGCAAAGAGTGATACTTTTTGGATAAATCCAAAGTTATGGTTTGAGGTATGATTCTAAGGATTTGATGCATTAAAGTACAGAATGCGGGGAAAGCACTTATTCTACCTGAATTTGCTTCAAAGTGCTAGTCGTAACTTATAAAGCCCTTCATGGTATTGGACCTGGGTACTTGAGAGACCGCCTGCTGCCAATTACCTTCCAAAGACCTGTTAGATCACACAGAGTCGGCCTCCCCCGGGTTCCGTCCACCAGCCAATGCCATCTGGCCACTACCCGGGGGAGGGCCTTCTCTGTGGCAGCTCCGGCCCTTTGGAATGAACTCCCCGCGGAGATTCGGACCCTCACCTCTCTCCAGGTCTTCCGGAAAGCTGTCAAAACCTGGCCGCGCCGGCAGGCCGGGGGTTGGGGAGTTGCCC